TTATCGATGATATCCGTCGCACAAACGGCATTGACAACGAGCTGGCGAAAACGGGCTTCTTCTTGCTGGGTTTCACAAATTGTTTTCCGTAGTTCGGGATACTTTTTTTCTTCGATGAGGATATTCCAAGCGAGATTGATCGAGTTTTGCTCCGCAATACTTTTTCCCTCRTATAATTTGGCCATCTCCGTTCCTTCCTTGACCAGTTGTGAGTTTGGTATTCCGGGATGATCGGCATCGTGGATCAAGGCGGAAAAGACGCAGGCAAACTGAGTCAATGGATCGCTAGTAATACCGTACGTATGATCGTGGAGCTGTTCGTGCTCTTCAAAGTCTTGGTCGGGCGCAACTATGCGGCTCAAAAGCTTCGCAACCGACATACCAACATGGCTTGCATGCGGAAAGTTGTGAAACGGATTRTCGTGGTAGGTAAGAGCAATCTCGGTAACAAACTGACTGAGTTGGAACTTYACTCGCGGCTCGAGAATAATCGAATCGGGATTCTCGGCATGATAATACTTTGAATCGTATTCGGGTAACTTAATGACTTCCTTCACCTCGTTGAGAACAATCATGTTCTTATGAGGTTTACTCCAGTTTACAGGAGTAGCTTTGCGTTTGAGAGCAATGCGACGTGCAATAATTTTCTTTAAAAGTCTCTCAAGTACGTCAATGTTCCAACTAATAAGACGCTGAGTTTGACTGCTCACGCGAGTCGAAGAAAACTGGACTTCATGGCTGAGTGCAGTACTTGCCGTAGATGCTTGGCTTGATGCGTAATTCTTCGGCTCGACCCAGTACGTCGTCATGAGGCCCTTTCCCTTGGCTTCGACCTTCTCAGTACGGGCTTGCAACCAGTGTGATTTCTTGGCAGCTCGCAATAAATCGGCTGTGGCCTGTGAGACCTGGATCTTGTTGACGGTSCCGGTGCTTTCCATGCGCGCGGCGGTGTTGACAGTGTCACCAAACAGCTGGAATCGAGATTTTTGCCCCCTAAGAACACCTGCTGTTACTGGCCCACTGTGAAGTCCTATCCGAAGATTCAAATCGCCCGTTTCTGGACCAAGAGAACTCTCTAAAATCGAACACAATTCAYTGAACTGTTGTCTGCAATCTCGGGCAAACTTTGCCATTACAACTAAAAAAGACACGTGTTAGAATTCATCGGTTGGTCATGAAGGGGAGTTTGGATCGGATTCCACAATACCACTTACCAGCGTGGTCTTTACGAGGATCTGGAAGGCCGGCCACGGCAACATAGGAGTCGCCAATAGTCTGACAGAAGGAAGCAGAAGCAGAAACAACGATGTAAGACCCGAGAACGCGACGAACAGCAAAATAGTCAGGGAATAATCACAAAATTACTTTCACTTACCTCAACCTTGAACACTCCTCGTCGCGAAGCAATATTATCGAACGCCCCATATATAGTCTCTAGGAGAGTGAAGACTTGAGTCGGTTCACGAACGCTCGACCAAGCGGTAAAGCCAGCAATGTCTGCAAACAAGACAGTAGTGTCTGTGAATAGATCTGCAATMGGTTTTGTCGAATCAGTCGAGGAATCTCCATCGTTCAAAAAAGTCCTGAGTCTGGATTTGGTTGGCTGAAATATGGATCCAGTCACGTTGTTCGCTGCCTTCGTGTCGCCGTTGCCTTCTAGTAGACGGTCTCGTACATTCGATGGAAATAGGGACGAAACAATTGTAGTACTCTGAACGGCCGTACTCATTACCTTCTTTTGCCGCATTGATACCAGCTTGTCATATCCAATGAAGACCAAGGCGGTGAACACAAAGATCCCAACAGCAATAATTGTATATAGTACTGGTTCATTTGTCTGATAGGAATCTTTCATTACCGTTGATGGGTATGTCTTCACGGTGTAAGCACAGTAATCCATGTCGATAGGAAGCCCACCGTACCKTCCCCCCGAATTAGCGCTGTTCATACCAATTTCTTCGAAGGTCAGTGTTTTGCCCATGCCATCGAATTCAGGCTCGTGAAGGTCCCCTGTACCCATCCATTCCGCTTCATGACCATTTATTTGGTACGTGAAGGTCTGATTGCAGGCATTTTCGAATACCACAACCAAACCGTTCTCGTCATTGGGGAGGATATTCTCTAGGTACGACTTCCAGTAGAAACTTGAGGCGATAATCCCAACTACCTTCGAGTCCTCTTCGTCTACGGTGATGGCACCTGTCGCCGTATCCAGGATGGGRTACAAAACCCTAATAATCGGTTCCTTCGGATTCACATCTGGCGATGAYGAATGGCGGCCGGCCCAAACCACCATCCGATTGGTGCCAGMTCTGAAGGTAATAAACRAGAGGTCCAAGCGTTAGACACCAAACAATTCACGCATACAGTGACCAGAGCCATGCATTCTCAATTTGAATACAAAAATTAATGTCCTAGATCGTATTCATGAACTTACCCTTCATTAGAGTCATCAAAGTTGAGGACGGGYCCAATCACCACTTTGTGGTCCGCTACAACCTTTTCAATACCAGGTCCGAGCAATCTGTGCTGAATGGCATTCCAGTTATAAGCACTCATAGTACCCGTGGGGAGCATTGGGTATGTCTGCCAGGTTGGCGTGTACGGCCCAGTACCGTTCGGGACTGGASCAGCATATCGAATTGAAGTAGAATGATTAGTATCATAATCCGGTATGTATGTCGGTGATGAAAAGGTGGTGTCTTCGCGTTGGATTTCGATGGTTTCTTGTACCCAACCCTCGTTCGCCTTAGCATAAGCCTCCCATTCGGGGCGTTGCTCTTCTGTAACATATACGTATTGCTGAAGAGCAATGGCATGCGATAGAATTCTCATTTTTGCTGCCTTTGATCCAAAATCATTGAGTGTGGTGTAAGGCCACGTCTGGTTCTTCTCTCGAGCGTTAGTAACCATGAACATCGCCAATGAATCTACAGCTTCCAGCTTGGTGTCCATGGTGCTTAGCAGTGATTCTTCAATTTTATTAGAATCCACATCGAACGACTTYAMAAACTCTTGGTTTTCGGTGTTGCTCACAAACAAGAACACAAGAACAGCAACAGCGACTGTGGTAACGATTAAAACACCGAACATGACGAGTCTCCAGGTCATGACKGCCATGTTTTCTTTCCTTGCAATRTTCAGAGACTCCTCCGACTCAGGTTTGCTCATTCCAGTTTGATGGCTCAGTTGGCTACCCTGATTAGTAGTTGGAGATACTCCTGATGATACGGTTTCGACATCCTCTTCTAAATTACTCCAAATCCCTGATCGCGAGGATCGGGATCCTTCCGATCCATCTTCTGCCTGAGTGCCATCAGCCTGGTTGCTTTGGTGGTCTCCGTTTTCTCTTTCTCCCATTTCCATTACTTTGGCGGTTGTGTTCTCTTCTTTCTTTCTGTCTGTGGTCATGGTGGTGCTGTGGGACATCAAAACCAACTTGGGAACCGAGGGAAACATGTCATGTAGTACCGATGATGTTGGTGGTGTGACGCTAACTGGAAGTCTTTTTGGGGGGCATAAAATACTTTTATTTTTTCAATTTTTTCAATGGCACTATCTATTGACTGGTACGTATTCGTACTTCAAAAGTAATTATTGGTTTCTTGTTTTGATTCTGGAAAAACCGCGTATTTAGTTTGTAATCATCGCCTGCTGTTTTTATGTCAGTAATGACCCACTGCACTCATTCCATAGAAAAAATTTATTGTACCTCCCAACCGTKAAAGTAACACTATTACCGTCCTACTAGCATTTTTTTTCTTGAAGTTGAATCAGCAATCCATTTTATTGCCTTTTCAATCCTTTTTTATTCTTCGTCTTGTTCGCACATTTTATTCTCGATTCGGACATGSTTTTCGTATTGTTTCTTATACCCGGTTCAATGTACCTGCCCGTATGTTGTTCCTCATTATTTAATGTTTCTGAGTCATTCTTTGTTCATCATCAGGCAATTCATTAGTGAAGCCGCAGCGCTACCATGAATTATGTCTCGCATTCCGCCAAATTCAATYATACTTCTTGGCTTGAGGATCAAGTAAGGTTGGGCCTATTATTTAACGCAGAAATGAAGATAGTTCCCCTTCAGAGTGTGTTGCAAACTTTGTGACCCAAAATCACGAATACTTGTACTTACCATAGATAGTTCATTTCGCAAACTCCAAGAACTCTAGGAGCGATGAGCTTAGGCACTAGGAGCGATGAGCTTAGGCATCTGGCGCTCCAGAGTCATTGCTGAAAAAGCAAAATGCCTCTTTTCCAAACCTTAGTAGTACTGTAATTGTGTGACGCAAAGGAACAACACATACAAACAATACTGTTGGACTTTATCAACATGATGCCAAAAAACAACCATNATCAATTTGTCATTTTTTGAAACAAAGCAACAGGCCAATCGTATTAGTACTAGTAGTAGTGCTGGTGCAAGTAAGTAGAAATTCTTAGTGGTTCAAGATTCATGGAACACCCACGTGCACTCTCTTSAAAAAGTCTTTCAAACGACTACTTGAGGACTATTCTAACAGGTTTTTGGTTATTAGAACCAGCAAGTCATCACCGAAATCAATGAAATATTCGAATAAGTTGTGAATTCAATAGTTTTTTAGTGATATATTTATGTAGTAGATGCTGCTCTACGCCAGTGCCTTGTCATCCTTCTTGTACTTTTTCTCGTAGCTAGCTACAACATCTTTCCCCTTCTTTTCCCATTCGTTGCGATTCATGATTGCATAGTTAAGGTATTCGTCGGAAGAAACACCRAAGACACCGCACTCAGATAATTTCTGCGCGAGAGGAATGATGTAAAAGTCGAAGAATCCAATCTCCCCCGTGTACCATGTGTCAGTAGGATCCTTGTCCGCTCGCCCTTCTACGTAAGCCTTGTACATTTCGGCATAAAGACGTTCGTTCCACTTGATGTAAATGTGCCAGTGCTGCATGGTATGAGCAACGTCRGATGCCTGAATAATGTGCTCTATCACGATCGTAGCCCTGCGATTGATCAGATCCTGGTCTAGCTTCAAATTAGGATTGGTAGTCGAAAACGCTTTTTCCCATCGMTTGTTGCGCGCACTCTTTAAGTCTTTATCGATGATATCCGTCGCACAAACGGCATTGACAACGAGCTGGCGAAAACGGGCTTCTTCTTGCTGGGTTTCACAAATTGTTTTCCGTAGTTCGGGATACTTTTTTTCTTCGATGAGGATATTCCAAGCGAGATTGATCGAGTTTTGCTCCGCAATACTTTTTCCCTCRTATAATTTGGCCATCTCCGTTCCTTCCTTGACCAGTTGTGAGTTTGGTATTCCGGGATGATCGGCATCGTGGATCAAGGCGGAAAAGACGCAGGCAAACTGAGTCAATGGATCGCTAGTAATACCGTACGTATGATCGTGGAGCTGTTCGTGCTCTTCAAAGTCTTGGTCGGGCGCAACTATGCGGCTCAAAAGCTTCGCAACCGACATACCAACATGGCTTGCATGCGGAAAGTTGTGAAACGGATTRTCGTGGTAGGTAAGAGCAATCTCGGTAACAAACTGACTGAGTTGGAACTTYACTCGCGGCTCGAGAATAATCGAATCGGGATTCTCGGCATGATAATACTTTGAATCGTATTCGGGTAACTTAATGACTTCCTTCACCTCGTTGAGAACAATCATGTTCTTATGAGGTTTACTCCAGTTTACAGGAGTAGCTTTGCGTTTGAGAGCAATGCGACGTGCAATAATTTTCTTTAAAAGTCTCTCAAGTACGTCAATGTTCCAACTAATAAGACGCTGAGTTTGACTGCTCACGCGAGTCGAAGAAAACTGGACTTCATGGCTGAGTGCAGTACTTGCCGTAGATGCTTGGCTTGATGCGTAATTCTTCGGCTCGACCCAGTACGTCGTCATGAGGCCCTTTCCCTTGGCTTCGACCTTCTCAGTACGGGCTTGCAACCAGTGTGATTTCTTGGCAGCTCGCAATAAATCGGCTGTGGCCTGTGAGACCTGGATCTTGTTGACGGTSCCGGTGCTTTCCATGCGCGCGGCGGTGTTGACAGTGTCACCAAACAGCTGGAATCGAGATTTTTGCCCCCTAAGAACACCTGCTGTTACTGGCCCACTGTGAAGTCCTATCCGAAGATTCAAATCGCCCGTTTCTGGACCAAGAGAACTCTCTAAAATCGAACACAATTCAYTGAACTGTTGTCTGCAATCTCGGGCAAACTTTGCCATTACAACTAAAAAAGACACGTGTTAGAATTCATCGGTTGGTCATGAAGGGGAGTTTGGATCGGATTCCACAATACCACTTACCAGCGTGGTCTTTACGAGGATCTGGAAGGCCGGCCACGGCAACATAGGAGTCGCCAATAGTCTGACAGAAGGAAGCAGAAGCAGAAACAACGATGTAAGACCCGAGAACGCGACGAACAGCAAAATAGTCAGGGAATAATCACAAAATTACTTTCACTTACCTCAACCTTGAACACTCCTCGTCGCGAAGCAATATTATCGAACGCCCCATATATAGTCTCTAGGAGAGTGAAGACTTGAGTCGGTTCACGAACGCTCGACCAAGCGGTAAAGCCAGCAATGTCTGCAAACAAGACAGTAGTGTCTGTGAATAGATCTGCAATMGGTTTTGTCGAATCAGTCGAGGAATCTCCATCGTTCAAAAAAGTCCTGAGTCTGGATTTGGTTGGCTGAAATATGGATCCAGTCACGTTGTTCGCTGCCTTCGTGTCGCCGTTGCCTTCTAGTAGACGGTCTCGTACATTCGATGGAAATAGGGACGAAACAATTGTAGTACTCTGAACGGCCGTACTCATTACCTTCTTTTGCCGCATTGATACCAGCTTGTCATATCCAATGAAGACCAAGGCGGTGAACACAAAGATCCCAACAGCAATAATTGTATATAGTACTGGTTCATTTGTCTGATAGGAATCTTTCATTACCGTTGATGGGTATGTCTTCACGGTGTAAGCACAGTAATCCATGTCGATAGGAAGCCCACCGTACCKTCCCCCCGAATTAGCGCTGTTCATACCAATTTCTTCGAAGGTCAGTGTTTTGCCCATGCCATCGAATTCAGGCTCGTGAAGGTCCCCTGTACCCATCCATTCCGCTTCATGACCATTTATTTGGTACGTGAAGGTCTGATTGCAGGCATTTTCGAATACCACAACCAAACCGTTCTCGTCATTGGGGAGGATATTCTCTAGGTACGACTTCCAGTAGAAACTTGAGGCGATAATCCCAACTACCTTCGAGTCCTCTTCGTCTACGGTGATGGCACCTGTCGCCGTATCCAGGATGGGRTACAAAACCCTAATAATCGGTTCCTTCGGATTCACATCTGGCGATGAYGAATGGCGGCCGGCCCAAACCACCATCCGATTGGTGCCAGMTCTGAAGGTAATAAACRAGAGGTCCAAGCGTTAGACACCAAACAATTCACGCATACAGTGACCAGAGCCATGCATTCTCAATTTGAATACAAAAATTAATGTCCTAGATCGTATTCATGAACTTACCCTTCATTAGAGTCATCAAAGTTGAGGACGGGYCCAATCACCACTTTGTGGTCCGCTACAACCTTTTCAATACCAGGTCCGAGCAATCTGTGCTGAATGGCATTCCAGTTATAAGCACTCATAGTACCCGTGGGGAGCATTGGGTATGTCTGCCAGGTTGGCGTGTACGGCCCAGTACCGTTCGGGACTGGASCAGCATATCGAATTGAAGTAGAATGATTAGTATCATAATCCGGTATGTATGTCGGTGATGAAAAGGTGGTGTCTTCGCGTTGGATTTCGATGGTTTCTTGTACCCAACCCTCGTTCGCCTTAGCATAAGCCTCCCATTCGGGGCGTTGCTCTTCTGTAACATATACGTATTGCTGAAGAGCAATGGCATGCGATAGAATTCTCATTTTTGCTGCCTTTGATCCAAAATCATTGAGTGTGGTGTAAGGCCACGTCTGGTTCTTCTCTCGAGCGTTAGTAACCATGAACATCGCCAATGAATCTACAGCTTCCAGCTTGGTGTCCATGGTGCTTAGCAGTGATTCTTCAATTTTATTAGAATCCACATCGAACGACTTYAMAAACTCTTGGTTTTCGGTGTTGCTCACAAACAAGAACACAAGAACAGCAACAGCGACTGTGGTAACGATTAAAACACCGAACATGACGAGTCTCCAGGTCATGACKGCCATGTTTTCTTTCCTTGCAATRTTCAGAGACTCCTCCGACTCAGGTTTGCTCATTCCAGTTTGATGGCTCAGTTGGCTACCCTGATTAGTAGTTGGAGATACTCCTGATGATACGGTTTCGACATCCTCTTCTAAATTACTCCAAATCCCTGATCGCGAGGATCGGGATCCTTCCGATCCATCTTCTGCCTGAGTGCCATCAGCCTGGTTGCTTTGGTAGTCTCCGTTTTCTCTTTCTCCCATTTCCATTACTTTGGCGGTTGTGTTCTCTTCTTTCTTTCTGTCTGTKGTCATGGTGGTGCTGTGGGACATCAAAACCAACTTGGGAACCGAGGGAAACATGTCATGTAGTACCGATGATGTTGGTGGTGTGACGCTAACTGGAAGTCTTTTTGGGGGGCATAAAATACTTTTATTTTTTCAATTTTTTCAATGGCACTATCTATTGACTGGTACGTATTCGTACTTCAAAAGTAATTATTGGTTTCTTGTTTTGATTCTGGAAAAACCGCGTATTTAGTTTGTAATCATCGCCTGCTGTTTTTATGTCAGTAATGACCCACTGCACTCATTCCATAGAAAAAATTTATTGTACCTCCCAACCGTKAAAGTAACACTATTACCGTCCTACTAGCATTTTTTTTCTTGAAGTTGAATCAGCAATCCATTTTATTGCCTTTTCAATCCTTTTTTATTCTTCGTCTTGTTCGCACATTTTATTCTCGATTCGGACATGSTTTTCGTATTGTTTCTTATACCCGGTTCAATGTACCTGCCCGTATGTTGTTCCTCATTATTTAATGTTTCTGAGTCATTCTTTGTTCATCATCAGGCAATTCATTAGTGAAGCCGCAGCGCTACCATGAATTATGTCTCGCATTCCGCCAAATTCAATYATACTTCTTGGCTTGAGGATCAAGTAAGGTTGGGCCTATTATTTAACGCAGAAATGAAGATAGTTCCCCTTCAGAGTGTGTTGCAAACTTTGTGACCCAAAATCACGAATACTTGTACTTACCATAGATAGTTCATTTCGCAAACTCCAAGAACTCTAGGAGCGATGAGCTTAGGCACTAGGAGCGATGAGCTTAGGCATCTGGCGCTCCAGAGTCATTGCTGAAAAAGCAAAATGCCTCTTTTCCAAACCTTAGTAGTACTGTAATTGTGTGACGCAAAGGAACAACACATACAAACAATACTGTTGGACTTTATCAACATGATGCCAAAAAACAACCATCACAATCATCTAAATTTTGAGGAGCTTCTTSTTGTTKYWWCARMARARRWG